AAGAGAATCTGAGTACCCGAGTTTCTTTTTGAGCTAACCTGGCTAAGCAATTAACCATTATTCAGCAGCAGCTCATATGATTTATTTCTGGCTGAGAAATTCAGCAACAAACACAAGTCCAGACCGTATTTCCTACCGTAATCGAAGACGCTAATTGTCCGCTAGTGAGAGAGCACGTTCCAAAAATAGTAAAATCGAATTTCTTGGCTACAAATGGCCTCCAATGATTACTAGACTTGCTTTTTGGGCCACCTACATACACTAGGACCTCCCCCAGACCTGCCTGGACTTTCCTTTAAGGTCGCGATTTTTCAACATTTGTTTTGTTTGGAATCAAACCGCAAAGTTCTTCGTGTTTATGTTGAAACGTAGCCCTGGTCGCTATGCGTCTTCTTTATTTTTAAATTTTTGGGAAAGACGTTATTTTAACTTCATAAGTTTGAAGAGGTCTTCGTTACTAGAACTTTTGCGAACTAGTACATACTGGCTCACAACAATCGCTTGAGCAAGAAATGCCATGCACTTGACAACTATCGATGGCGATGAAGATCTTCGCATTCACAATATTTCGATACTTCCATCGGATCAGTGCGCTACCGAAGATCAAAGGGTAATTCTCAATACATTATGTAAATAACAAGATTTTGTTTATACTTATTACAGGCAGCGAAATGTTGCTGTGGTGACGGGTTTTTCTTCGATTTTCCTACAAAAAAGTGTATGGTAAGTGATTTTACGCAATAGCATTATACCACTAATGCTATTGTCCTGATAAATGTTTTGAGAATGTTTTTAGGTCTCGCTTAACGTTGGTTTTATGTTTGGTCGATTAAATAATGGCTGGTCTCATATGATTGTCTATGGATTTGCATATCCGATGCTTTTGCTCACGATGATTGCCCCATTGTGTGCAGTGATGTTAGGAATGGGAAAACGTGAAAAACGCGAGGGTGATCGGCGATTTGTAAGTTCTCCATGATTTTATTTTTGTAGAAAATTAATAGGTTCTGTTCAGCCAAACCCTCTATATCAAATGATCTGGTTACTTTCATTTTGTGGTTGGGTAAGTGTGTTGGCTCCACTTCCGTTCACTGTATGGTACTACATCGTTGGCGAGGGAACGAGGTATGCATTCGGGATCCTAACCAGGCACTTTGGCCTTATGAAAAACAAATTTGAGGACAAATATAAAGTAACGAAAGTAGGAGGGTTTCCAATATCTTTTTTGCTTTTGTTTTCACATATTGAGTTTTTTAAGAAATAAACCAATAGTTCCATTTTGTTCAAAAAATGCACATTCAGTTACCGCTGCACACGGAGAATAATTGAAGTGCTGAACACACAAAAAGGTAGCCGTTTAATGTGTTAGATTTTCTATATGGTTAGATTATGATTTCTATACGGTAGGCATACGGTGGTGACCTAAATCGCAAAATTTATTGTAATTCTAGCGGCGTAATCTAATATTCTTTTTCTATGTATTTATGTACACTCGTTGAAAAGAAGCCCTTTGTTTGTTTGAGATGGTATTTATACCATATAACTACCGTAATTCTTGAGTAACGATACTCTAACATTAAGATTTGGATATGATATTGGTGATATACACAATCCGAGAACCCAGCTATGCCAGTTACCACTGTATTTTGTGATTTTTGCCCTGCACTATGCAAGCACAATTTTAATTATACCGTAATTCACAGCGGGATGAATACCATTATTATCAGCATGTCAAGCAACAAAAAGTAGAAATAAGTCCGAGATATCGCCTTTTTGAAGTTATCAATAAAAACAGCGCTGGAAATTTTGTTAAAAATATCTGCATCCATTTGTTGTTAGGCATTTATTAACACTTTACCGTCTCGGTTAATTACCGTAAAAGCTGGTGATTCTCGCTCAGGTCACTCAACCAATCAGTTGTTATGTGTCATGTGTTTCGTACCACCATGGAAGCAATTCCACATACTGTTGATACTATGATGACTCTATTCAGTGTTCTCCTAGCCGCAGCCAGGTCTGCTCCAACCCATTTACACATAACACGAGTACGATACCACAATTGCCTAGGTTTCTTACTCAATACCATCGAAATACGTTGAAGCTCAGAACTGTGGAAAGATTCTCTAGAGCCATATGGCTAATAATATTTGTATGCATCGCTATTGGGCTGTTGAGATTTTTCGAACATGACACGACAGTTTACCAGTTTTGTATGGGTAAGTATGACCC